AGAGAAAGAAAGAAAGAAAGAAGGAAAGAAAGAAAGGAAGGAAGGAAGGAAGGGAAAGAAAAGAGAAGAAAAATGGCAAATTTAAAATGGTGGACAAATATCCAGATAACAAATGAAAACGTATTCCTCCCTTTACTTGGTAAAGTCAAAAGATACAAGATACAGTCAAAATATATACTACAATTTTCTTAAAACCTACCAGATTTTCTGCTAAAGTGTAACATTTTTTCTTCTTGAGGACAAAAATTCTAGCATATGCAACACATCTGACATTTTCAAAACAGTCCTATTTGTTTGCTAATTCTTGGCATAGTTTCTTAATTGTCTACTCATTTTAGTTGTTATATGAGGTGGTAGGGATATAGACCATTAAGATATGTCACCTGCCTCCAAGCCTCTTACAGTCAAACTGAGGTGACAGGTAAGTAACCAGATACTGCTGTACAGGGGGATGCATGAACGAAGTGAAGCAAGACACAAAAGGGGTGTAATCACAGGTGAGACTGGGTCCGTGAGCCTGTACTCTGGTAGCAATGGAAGACCGTTCAGAGTAGGGCTGGAGAGTTCTCTACTCTGGAGACCATTTCAATAATCAAATGCAGTGAGGATGCTGGGGCATTTGAGAAATGTGTAATACACTTGGCATAACCCTGTGATAGGTTGGATGTGGGAGGTGAGAAGCTAACCTACAACATCTGAATTCTGTGCCAGTGTTTTCCCTCGACAATTGTTTGATTAAATTTGATTCTTTTTTTTGTTTTTTGAGACAGAATCTCACTCTGTTGCCCAGGCTGGAGAGTAGTTGTGCAATCTCAACTCACTGCAACCTCCGCCTCCCAGGTTCAAGCGATTCTCCTGCCTCAGCCTCCCAAGTAGCTAGGACTACAGGCGCCGCCACCATGCCCAGTTAATTTTTGTATTTTTAGTAGAGACAGGGTTTCACCATGTTGGCCAGGCTGGTCTCAAACACCTGACCTCAAGTGATCCACCTGCCTCGGCCTCCCAAAGTGCTGGGATTACAGGCATGAGCCACCGTGCCTGGCCTAAATATGATTCTTAACATGGTGAACCTAATGAAGTGTATGAGATTTTCAGGAAAAGAGTTTGTACACAATAACTGTACCTCTGACTTTCTCTTCTGTATTCCCGTGTAGCATTTATTTGTCATATTCTGCTGTGATTATTTGTTGATCTATTGGTTTTCTCCAAAGTAGCCAGACTTTGAGCTTGTGGAGGGCAGAGACCTTGTCTTATTCTGATGTTTATCCCACTTGCCCACAACTATACCTGACATGTGGAAGGTCTCAATAAACGTCCAAAATTTAAGGCCTTTTTTATATTTCAAAAGTACAAATTGAAAAGAGTGAATTGCATTTTATGCAGGGAGGAGAAAGAAAGAGATGAGAATCACAGTAAATATTAACATTTCTTCTGCATTCAGCTAAAATTCAGCTTTAGATATAAAATATGGAAAAATAACCAGAGTTGAGAGCTCTCTCTGCCAAAACAGTGTTTATGTTTAACATAGTTCACACAGCTGGGCTCCATTTACCTGCCCTCCAAGTGCACAGTAAAAAGAAGATGCTGTAGGTATGGTGACCTATCATTAACTAGAGTTATTTACCTCTAGTTAAACCCCTTCTGATGGACCTTCTTGCACCACAGAGGAAAGAAAACTAACCACATTGCCAGACTCCTTTGCAGCTAGGATCTGGATAAGAACTAGGATACCCAATCAGATGCACCAGCATGAGTCCGGGAAGGTGGAAGCATAGCAAGCATGGCCACAGTGCAGCATTCCAGTGTCATGTGAGGGGCAGCTGAGGTCACTGGAGCAGCCTCCTTCTCCCTATATGACAGCTGTGTCCTGAAGCCAGCAGTTTACTAGTGGCTTCTCTTAGTTGTGGCAGAGGGTGCAGCCCCAGGCAGCCAATTCAGTCATGTTTTTCTAGGGTCATTCCTGAAAGCCCAGTGTAAATTTTTTATGTACCCATTTCTCAATATTAAACTCCTTTCTGCTTAGCCGGAGTGGTTTGTACCTCTGCAGCTAAACTGGACATGGGGATAAAGCCAGAATAAGCCCCCTCCCTAGTCATGCCATTCAATGGCGATTGAGAAATCATTCAAGCCATATTTGACCTCCCATGTTTGGTTCCATACTGTTAACAGGACTGTCCTGGGAGGCTCTGTGGGAGGATCCTCACATGTCTGCTTTAATTTCTGGTTGCTTTTATTAGATCCAGGATTGACCTAGGTAAGAACAAAGACTCCTGTAACCAAGATCAAATTAGCTTCCCTCTTATTCTTTATTGCCTTTATAGCCTTCCAACCTCCTGGAAAAAGATTGAAGACAATAATATATCAAGTAATACGGCCAAAATGTGTTTGAGATCTCTTTGTTCCTTGGTATCCAAGGAAACTTGCTCCTGATACCTTGGGTGGGTCACTTTGTGTGGGGAGTAAGCAAAGGAGAAATAGCAGATGCCAGACACTAGAACAGAAGCAGTTTCTCTCCAAAATCTGTTCCTCCTCCTTCCGTAGGATTAGCATTGGAGCTGGACACATGGGCATTCACTGATGATACTTCCTGGCTTCCCTTGCAGCAAGGTAGAGCCATGTGACTAAACTGTCACGCAGGAAATGTAAATGTCAATGAGATGAGTCACTTCTAGGTCTGAGCTAAAAACTTTAGGATGAGCCTTGCCACACTTTGTTTCCTCATTGTTTGAGACAGAGTATGAACGTGACTCTGATCAAGTTTCCCCCATGCTGAGGAGGACAGTACCCTAGGGCTGGGTTGGCAAATGCTTTCTGTAAAGGGTTAGATAGTAATTATTTTTAGCCTTGGGGGCCATACAGTCTTGGTGGTAACTACTCGACTCTGCTACTGTAGTGGAAAAGTGGCCGTTAGACAGTATGTAAATCACTGGGCAGGGTTTTACCTAAGACCATTTTTACAAACACAGGTGATGTGCCAGAATTGGTCTGTGGGCTATCGTGTGCTGACCCCTGCCACAGGGAATGGCAAAGCAATAAGATGAAAGGACTGTGCACTTCGGTGCACACTCCGTAAAAAAGAAGCCCCCCACAAACAGTGGCTTTAAATAAAAGTAGTTTCTTTTTCCTCTAAGAGGAAAGCCACTGTTTGTGGGGCCTCTTTTTCACAAGGCTTAGTTTCACCCTACACCGAACATGTAGCCCAGTAAGCTGTCTCTGTAGCCTGCTTGATGTCTCCCTTGGATTCAGGAACTGAGGGGGTTTATATTGATTTCACAGAACAGATAAGACTAGTTAGAAGAGGCATCTGAGGCTTTTCTCCCTGATCCAGTCATTGCTTTGTGTCCGGCTATGGGCAGGCCTGAAATGAACTCGCCTATTATCAATAAAAGGTTGCATCTTTCACTAATGCAGCCTAGAAAAGAGGGATCAGGATTGCTGTGGGGGTTGGGGGGGTGGTTTGCAGTGGTCAGGGAAGGCATCTCTGAAAAGGTGACACTTGACCAAAGACCTGAAGGCAGTGAGGGGATGACCCTGCAGGCACCTGGGGAGATGTGGTTTAGACCAAGCGAAATGGGAAAAGTTCTCTTATGCCCTTCGCAGGGTGTGCGATGGGGGTGTGGCTCACTTCTTCAGCTCCCCACAGCTTAAACCCCTGGGGGAGCATGCAGGTACCCCATGGCAGCGTCTAGGGGTGAATGTTTACAGCTCCCGAAGCCCCAGTGGGCGTGTGTTACAGTGTGCTCTTTCAGCTTCGCTGTCCACTGGCAGCTTGTGTTAATCAGTTCAATTAGACCCTCTGCCTTATTGAAAGGACAGAGGGCTTTCTGTATCCCAGGCTTCTTGCCAATGTACTGGAAAAACTGGATCCCACGTGGGCCTGGAGAATGAGTGCAAGGTTTTATTGTGTGGTGGAAGAAGCTCTCAGCAGATGGATGGGGAGCCAGAAGGGGGATGGAGTGGGAAGGTGGTCTTCCCCTGGAGTCAGGCCGCTCAGCAGCTGGGCTCTCCTCTAACCACCCCGGTCGAATTCCGCGTTGTCTGTGTCATTCTGCCGCTGTTGGCCTGCCGAAGTCTGTGTGTTCTTCTGCCAGTGTGTTTCTTTCAATGTCCAGCTGCTTGTGTTTGTGTTTGCTAGGGTCTTGAGGTTTTTATAGGCACAGGATGGAGGTGTGGTGGGCCAGGGTGGTCATGGAAAATGCAATATTTGGGCGCAAAAACAGGAGTGCCTATCCTCACCAGGGTCTGTGGGCACAGGCCTGAGGCCTTCCTTTATCAAAAGGAAACTGCATCCCATGGCTAACTGCTCTGAATGGAACCTTTTAAATAAGTTATGAGTGGGCTAAATAGAAAGGTGGTAAAATAGAAGGAAAAGAGAGTAGGAATTTAGAAGCTAGTCTGATTTTTTACTTCCTTGGCTCTGTGATCTTGGGCAAGTCAACCATTCTGAGCCTCAGTTTCCTCATCTATACCTGAGAATAAAAACTGTCTGTCCTGCCTCACTGGCAGAGTTGCTGGGAGTGCCATATGATAACACACATGTGAACACACTGCATGATTACGAAGCATTGTGTCCACTACAGTTCTGTTCAGTGACTGACACGAAGAAAAGGTTTATTTTTCTCACCTAATAAGAGGTCCAGGGGTAGCAGCCCATGGCTGCTGCAGCCACCCAAGGATATCTTAAGCAATCTGCCTCATATGGCTGTCAGATGACTGCTGTACTCCCAGGCATTATGTTGGCATTCCAGCCAGGAAGGAGGAAAATAGACAAGAAGGAAGGGAGTGGGCGTCTATGTCAGGAAAGCAAAACTTTTCCAGAAATCCTCCACCAGCTTCCATATGTGTCTCACTGGCCAGCACTGTGTCACAGGGCTGCTCCCAGAGGCAAGGGAGCCTGGGAATTTTTTGAAAGTTGGGGGCATTGTCCCCCCACACACAAAAAAAGGGGAGAGAATGCACACTGGTTAGACAACTTGCCGTGTTGCCACAAACGCGTTGCAAAGCCAAAATAACTATCATGGAATCAGCACTATAATTTGACTCAGATTAAATGTTATTTAAGAATAAATAGTCTCAGCCCTTTCATTGTACAAAATAGGTACCTGGATTGGCCAAGAAACACAGTATGCTCAATCTTTCTGAAATATTATTAAGCACATTATTTTAACAAAACTACAGCTCTAAGAACATAATACATCTTCACCTAAAATTAGAAATTGCTTTTAGAAAAAAAAAAAAAAAAGGTAGAGCAGAGCTTAGGTGCTGTTTTTCTCTCCTTCAGGGGATTTTGGAACGCCTGGAGAGTGGGGAGGTTGTGATTGGAGATGGCAGCTTTCTCATTACTCTGGAGAAGAGAGGCTATGTGAAGGCTGGGCTCTGGACTCCAGAGGCAGTGATAGAACACCCAGATGCAGGTTGGTGCCACATCCCCAAGAGTGTCTACCTCAGTGGTGTTTTATTTAAATCTGATTGAGAGAAGATCAAGAAAAAAATAACAACTGTTTCAAAGGGGTGTTTTGCTTGCTAAAATTGCCAAGATGTGGAGACAATGGCAGTATGAAGGCGGAAGTATATGCAAGAAAATGACCTCTCTCTTCCTTTCTCTCTCTCTCATATACACACCTACACACATCACACACCCACACATCCACACGCCCACACACACACACCCCCACACACTCACACCCCTAACCCCACATCCACACACACCCCATATACACACCCACACACCACAAACACACGTACACACCCACACACTCCCACACACACCCACACACACACTCACACCCCTAACCGCACATCCACACACACCCCATATACACACCCACACACACCACAAACACATGTACACACCCACACAACACACACACACACCCACCACACTCTCATACACACACACATCTGCATCTTAATGTACAGGCAGTGCTAAAATAGACATCTTAATATTTGTTCCATGAATATTTACCTTGTAGATACACAGAGTTTCCTTAAAACAGCAAAGCTGTTCCTGCTTCTGATTCACCCTGCTGACAATGTGCATGGTTAATGTAACAGTGTGTATAGTGAGGGTGATTAATGGCAGTCACAGTGTAACAGAGCACAGACAGCCAGGTCCTGGGGTTGGGAGGGCAAAGAAGTCAACACAGTTTTATATCATCCTCCTGGCTAGAGGTAAAGAACTGTGATGGGATTAGATAGTTACCTGAAATTAGAACTTTAATTCTCTTCTGACTCTTTTTTGTGTGTGTTTGTTCTCCTAAATTAAAGTGGGAAAATAAAGCCAGAGAATGAAATGGGTGAAAGAGAATACTAGCTGAGACTGGAACTTTTGATTCGCTCTGATTTTATGTATATTCGCACAGCATATCAGATAAACCTAGGATCCTGTCTTGGTTCTTCCACTGACCAGCTGTGTGGCCTTGGACAAGTCACTTGACCTCTCTAAGGATCCATATCTTCATCTGTTTCACGAGGGCACAACACAGGCTAGGTGTGAGGACTCATTAGTTAACCTGTGTGAAGTGCCCTGCGTATCTTCAGTACGATGGCCATTATGATTGGTGCATCGGACACCCAGAGTTCTGTGGCAGAGCAGGACCAAGTTTTGTCCCTTTGGTGCTTAACAGGATGTTTTCATCTGGCCCAAGAAGAACTTGTTCTTAATGTTAAAAGACCTTTTTGCTAAACTGGGAAGAAAGTGCTGGAATAACAAGAGTAAGGATACGGGAGGAGGGGCGAAAGTGGTGAAGGAGAGGAAGGAATGACTTTCGGATAGCCAGGGAAAACTTCCAGACTGCTCTCTGATGCTCCCCAGCTGCTTGCTGCTGACTCTGATGTGGGTGCCACCCACATGCATTCTGCTTTCTACGAGAAGCTCCTCACTTTACTTTGAGGGCTGCCAATGCTGACGATAGTAGACCAGCTATGTCCTTCACAACACAGGTATAGAATAAACCTCTCTGGACTAAGAGACCAAAGGATAATTGGCCAATCTGGTCTTAATCTCTGCATGTGACTGCACCAAGTCATTGAGGCCCATCACCAGAACAATACAAAGCTACTCTAAACAGTACATCCTGCCTATGAATTCTACTGACCTTAATCTATAACTTTTTATCACTACTAGGTTTGAACTGAGGTATGATTGAAAGAGATAGGAGTCAGTGAAAATGACAGCTTCTGTAATATTTCTTTGTTCATTTATTTCAATGTTTAAAACCCAACTACTTTGTAGTTCGTCAACTTCACATGGAATTCTTGAGAGCAGGATCAAATGTCATGCAGACTTTCACCTTTTCTGCCAGTGAGGACAATATGGAAAGCAAGGTAAACGGCAATGGCTGGACGTGGGGAGGGAGTCATCTATTAAGAAATAACCTCTACATGGGAAGCTATGGCATTGATGATGTGTTACTATACTTTATTACAAAAGTCCATATAAGTACCTATGTATTAATTGTCACATAAAGATGTATACTAACTAGGCTGGGCACAGTGGCTTACACCTGTAATTCCAGCACTTTGGAAGGCCGAGGTGGACAGACCACTTGAGCCCAGGAGTTCCAGATCAGCCTGGACAACATGGTGAAACCCCATCTCTACTAAAAATGCAAAAATTAGCTGGGCGTGGTGGCAGGTGCCAGTAATCCCAGCTACACGGGAGGCTGAGGCATGAGAATGGCTTGAACCTGGGAGATGGAGGTTGCAGTGAGCCGAGATCACACCACTGCACTCCAGCCTGGGTGACAGAGCGAGACTCCATCTCAGAAAAAAAAAGAAGTTAATATATACTAAATGAATTCTCTCCCCATTTAGGTATAGGAGGGGTCAGGACTAGGGGTAAAATAAACCATTGGAAGGGCACGGCTGTCTTCCTGTGTTATTTTTTAGAGAGAAAGCACTTCATAGATGCTCTTTTTACCTTCTCATTTCACATTTTTCTCTTCTGGAGACATGGAGGCCCAAAAAACACAACACTGGTGTAGAAATGAGAAAAAATGGGTTTAATATCCAGCATTGCCACCTATTGGTTGTGGCTTTGTGTAAGACACCTACCTGAATTGGGCATTGGTTTTCTCTCTGCAAAATGGAGATAACGGTAGTACTTAAGTTCATCGACCTGTTGAGAAGAGTAAGTAAGATCAAAGATGTGGACGTATTGTGAAATATTCTGCAAATGTAAAATGTTAACACGTGTAAATATTAATGCCCATTAATTCATTCAACCAACCAACATGTACTGAGTATCTGTTATAGTCCATTCTCTATGTTAGATTCAAAGATGGTACAAAGGCATAGATCCTATCTGGAGGCTCAAGGTCAAGTATGGGAGGCGAACAAATAGTTATTAAAATCCAATGTGGTAAGTACAATAATGGAAATATAAGGTCATGGTACCAGAGGAGATTGTACCCAACTCTGCTCATCTTCTCTGCTTGCATTGAAAAGAGTGGCTTACACTCATCTTACTTGTTTATTGTTCCTTTGGTTATCTTTTATATTTTACCTTCAAACTGCTAGGCTCACCATCTGAACTCTTGCTCTCTAACCTCAGTGGGAAGATGTAAATGCTGCTGCCTGTGACCTCGCCAGGGAAGTGGCTGGCAAAGGTGATGCTTTGGTTGCAGGGGGGATCTGCCAGACATCAATATACAAATACCACAAGGATGAAACTAGAATTAAAAAACTTTTTCGACAACAGCTAGAAGTTTTTGCCTGGAAAAATGTGGACTTCTTGATTGCAGAGGTGAGGCTAGTATTAGAGGAAAAGGATTGAGCCTATTTTGCAAGCATAACTGCAGAGTCTTCACATTCCATGAGAGTATTGGACAGCCTTATGCCCTCATTTCTTCCATGTGGGTGGTCAAAGGTTTAGTTAAATGCATGGCAGTCAAGGTCAACATTCCCTCATTGGTATGCTAGGTTCTCTTGGAGCCAAAGGACAGACCCAGGGGAGGCCTGACCATAGCCTTTGATCTTCTAAGGTCTGGGTGGCTGCAGAAGCTGACTCGAGGGACTCCACAACCTACAAGGAAGCATAGGGCAGAGTGCATCAGGGAGCACCCTCTCCAGAGTGAGAAGCCAGGCAGGAGGGCACTGCATGTGTGGGCTGGGGACTGAGAGAGCAAGGCCTAGAAGGTGGTGGCTGTCCAGGCTTGTCCAGGCCCCACCAATAATGCTCAGCACCCAGTAGTTTCCATAGCCTTCTCCATCCATGTCTTGCTCTTCTTGCCTCTCTGCTTTCACTCAAGCTATGACATGTGAGTTACATTTTGAAGAAAGAATCAGTAAGTATTGGTCATTGATTGGACGTGAAGACCCAGAACATTATCTTTCCTCCGCTTCCAAAAAGAAAGTCCTCATTCCCCATTTCCCAACATAACTGCTACTGCCTGGAGTCATGCCTTCAACCCACGACTTTACTCCAAACAAGAGAATATCCCCTGGCCAGGCGCGGTGGCTCACACCTGTAATCCCAGCATGTGTGATGGGATTTGACATCAGATGATTTGATTTCCAGATGGATGATGACACCACTCTGTTTGTTTAAGAACCCATCTTTTGATTCTCTCTGTCATTGCTCACACTGCTTCTGCAGAATTTGTTTCTAACTCAAGAGGGAAGAAATGGGAAGATTTCTGGCTTTTCTTTAGTTGCCTTAAGGTCAGCTTTTCAGCTGTGGCACTGAAGGGGGTTTCTGGGAAGCACCCCAGAAAATGACATAAGTTTACCAGACAAGATGTCCTGTCTGCCACTAGCAAAGAAAGGGAGTAGCTATCTCTCCCATGCTGTGCCTCAATCTTCTCATCTGGGGAAATAGTATTTCCCTTCCTACTTTATGGAGTACTTATGAATATCTAACTAGAAGCGAATATAAAAGCTCTTTGAAGTATACAACACATGATAAGCTACTCATTGTTTCAGAGATTACCCCAGTTTTATAAGAGATGAATCTAAAATTTATTAGTGAAACTTTTCCTCCTTCAAAATTATGATTTTAAATACTCAGATACTTTGAAAATCTCTGGGTGTGTCTTCTTCTTTTTCACTCATAGGCATCATCTCACTGAATCAATGATCCCTGAATGAAAAACTATAAGTTATTGTTATAGGAATGAAAATATTTACTCGGAAAGGTATTCTTTAATCAGTCTTATAGTCACACATTCCTTAGCAAGTTTTACTGTATATATGTTTATATTCTATTTGGTAATTTTTATAACTGTTTTGCTATATTTACCTTTACCATTCAAAATCTGCTTTATGTTTGGACCAATAGAAAAAGTGACATTTCTCTTAGTATTTTGAGCATGTTGAAGAAGCTGTGTGGGCTGTGGAAGTCTTAAAAGAATCCGATAGACCCGTGGCAGTTACCATGTGCATAGGCCCAGAGGGAGACATGCATGATATAACCCCTGGAGAATGTGCCGTGAGGCTCGTGAAGGCAGGTAATTTGGACCCATACAGTGATACACAGCTCAGTTGTTGCTTATGAAATTTAACAAAGTGTGCTTGATACTGTGAGAGCAGTTTGGAAATAAAAGAATTAACTCCAATCAGTTTTCTTATCTGTAAATCATGGGAGGTGGAGGGGGATAGCTAACCTCTAAGGTACCTTCCAACTATTAAAAAATAATAATAAACAAATAAATAAATAAGTAATAAAATGTAAGTGTTATTTCTTTGCACAGGGGCTTCCATCGTTGGCGTGAACTGCCGCTTTGGGCCCGAGACCAGCTTGAAGACGATGGAGCTCATGAAGGAGGGTCTCGAGCGGGCAGGGCTGAAAGCGCACCTCATGGTACAGCCCCTGGGGTTCCACACGCCCGACTGTGGCAAAGAGGGGTTTGTGGACCTCCCAGAATATCCCTTTGGTAAGCTCAGGTGCATAGTAGAGGTCTTTGTATTTCTCGTTGTGACAAAATCCAAATGGCTATAATAAATTGTGGCTCAGTTTTACAATAAGAAACTGCATATGACAAAACATTCAGTGTTAACCAAAAATGAGCTACCAGAAGAATGCATCATCTAAAGTTTATAATTTTTTTAATCAGAAAAACTGCTCATTATAGCATCCACCATTTGAAAATGAGAACAGTAACAGAAATGCTGTTAACTGTTGTGATACAGGACTGGAGTCCAGAGTTGCCACCAGATGGGATATTCAAAAATACGCGAGAGAAGCCTACAACCTGGGGGTCCGGTACATTGGCGGGTGCTGTGGATTTGAGCCCTACCACATCAGGGCAATTGCAGAGGAGCTGGCCCCAGAAAGGGGCTTTTTGCCACCAGCTTCAGAAAAACATGGCAGCTGGGGAAGTGGTTTGGACATGCACACCAAACCCTGGATTAGAGCAAGGTAAGCATTTTTAAATTAACATTCTTATTATTTTCCTTTAATCTAATTTTGTTTATTGTTGTAAATGTTATGCATGCACATGGCAAAAAGTATAGAAACGTATAAAGCGAAAAGTAAAAATTATCCCCTTCCTGACACCAGTCCTATTTCCATAATTGTCTTCAGTCCATTCGGGCTGTTAGAACAATACCATAAATTGGGTGGCTTATACACAACAGAAATTTCTTTCTCAGTTCTGGAGGCTGCAAAGTCCAAGATCAAGGTGTCAGCAGATTCAATGTCTGGTGAAGGCCTTATAGATGGTAAAGGCCATTTCTAAGGAAGCAGGCATTCCTTACAGATGATACCTGCTGGCTGTGTTCTTACATGGTAGATGGGGCACCACAGCTCCCTGGGGTCTCTTTTCTTTTATTTTCTTTCTTTTCTTTTTTTTTTTTGTTTTTGTTTTTGAGACAGCATCTGACTCTGTTGCCCAGGCTGCAGTGCAATGGCGCAATCTTGGTTCACTGCAACCTCTGCCTCCCAGCTTCAAGTAATTCTCCTGCCTCAGCATCCCAAGTAGCTGGGATTACAGGCGCCCACCACCACACCCGATTAATTTTTGTATTTTAGTAGGGATGGGGTTCCACCATGTTACCCAGGCTGGTCTCGAACTCCTGACCTCATGATCCGCCTGCCTCCACCTCCCAAAGTGCTGGGATTAGAGTGGGGCCTCTACTAGTCCCATTCATCAGGCCTCCACCCTCATGACCCAATCACCTCCCAGTGGCTCCACCTCCTAATATCATCACATTGGTGACTAGGTTTCAACATATGCATTGTGGGGGACACGGACGATCAGACCAGGGCACAGAGGAAACCTGCTTGTCATTTGTAGTTTGAAATCTTGTACCTCTATTTCTTTCGTCATCAGTTTTAAGTGGTTATTATTGATAACCCTTTATGAAAGCTGAGGGATTTAAATCACACAGTCTTCCCCTTTCCCCCATTCTCCTTTTCCCAGTTTTGATTCGTTGCACTTTTATTTCTTCTGTTGGATATCATCTTTTTAAGTTAAATTTATATATTTAACCACCTGTTTCTTAGTTCATCAATATAAGGCAGGAATCTCTTGACTCCACTCTCTGTAAAATAAGAATAGATTGCCTTCTGCTTCTTTCCACCTTCTCTCTCTCATCTACCCCTTGGTGTCTCTCAGTTTTACCATACTTTACTATCATCAAGGTTTATAACCATTTTGTTCTATTCTATAGTTATAATTGTCTTTCAAGCATTCTCTGTAGGTTGGTCCTAAAAATATAAAATCAGTGAATAACATTTACAATATTATTATAATTGTTACATTAAACAAGCAGGACTCATGAAACATAATTAGAACTCACTTTTATTTTTGTCTCCCTCTATCCTTTTAAACCTACTCAATGAATTCCTTCCTTTGTTCCTATTTGAAAATATTGACATGCTCTAGAACTTCTCTGGGTGCTCTTAGGCAATGGAAAGTTCCATAATCACTTTATTTCACAGGTAGTCTCAGTTCAGTAATTAAAAGTGTTTAGGACTGGGCAGTGACTCACACCTGTAATCCTAGCACCTTGGGTGGATCACCTGAGCTCAGCAGTTCAAGACCAGCCTGGCCAACATGGCAAAACCTCATCTCTACTAAAAATACAAAAGTTAGCCTGGCGTGGTGGCAGGAGCCTATAATCCCAGCTACTTGGGAGGCTGAGGCAGGAGAATCGCTTGAATCCAGTGGGGTGGAGGTTGCAGTGAGCCAAGATTGCGCCACTTCACTCCAGCCCGGGGAATAGACCGAAACTCCACCTCAAAATGAACAAACAAAAAAAACCCCCAAAATAAAAAATAAACAAAAGTGTTCAGGTTCATGGCAAATCAAAACCCAGAGCATGTTTGAAACTTGAAGCTTCTCCCTTGGTCCAGCAACAGCCTTCCACAGACAGGAAACCAGGAAAGGCCAACGTGCTGCTTCTCTTTCTCTGTCTTATGCTCCCAACCCTCCCTTCCCATCTGCTACCCATGGTTTCTGGCCTCCTCAGATTCAAAGTAAGAAGAGAGAGGATGGACGAAGGAGTAAGACTGTTGTTGCTTGCCTGGCACCCTGATAGGAAGCCGGCATGCTTTGAGCCTGGCAGATCTTTGTGAGCATGCTCATGGGTCTTCAGAGGCTTCCACTGGAAACTTTTGTCTGTAGTTCTCATGCCACACACATTTTTCTGACTGTGACTTCCACCTCAGACAGTGGCTTTTTCAACCAGATCACTGCAGATATACTCTGATTTGGGGGTCCCATTGTCCTTCCTGGTGATTCTCTTGGGTCAGATTTTAGATAGCTCAGGCTGGCTCTCTTGCTCTCATTAAACTCAAAACAGCTTTCACCCTTCCTTTCTACAGACAAGCCCTGAGAGTGTGGTCTGACCCCAATTTAACAGCATCCCTTTTGCCCACAAGCAAAGTAGCTGGCCCATTGTTCTCTTGTGGTCTAGATTTTCCAGGGGAGAGTCAGGTGAGTCATCTGGCTGGTTCGTAGCCACCTCCTTTAAACTTCAGCTCAGTGTCTGTCTTGCAACTCCCCTTGATACCTAAAATCCATCATACCTTGGTGTTTCCAGTCAAACTTCCAATCTAATACTCTGTTGCAGGAATAATAGAAAATTGTTGCATTTAGAAAAACGTTCACTGTAGAACAAAGTAGTGGTCTGCAGTGTTCTGTGTCCCTTTATCCATGGGACCATGGATAAAGAGAAATAATCCTATTTACAAAACTTAAGCTACCTGTTGGAGAATGTTCCAAGCATCAAGGTCAAATGAATTTTCTTCTCTTACATTCCCATGGATATATTGTCCAAATCCATGCCATATTTCAATTGGCTTCATACTTGGTCTGACTTTCTTTGTATAGCTTTTGATTTTCAAGGGATTTCTGATTAACTTCCTTTTTCATTGTTGAAAGAAAAATAACAGGGCTTCACTTTCCCTGAGGTCTTATAATTACTGTTCTGTTATGGATCATTGTATTTCACACACACACTCTCATACTCTTTCTCTCTCCTCTGTCTCTCCATGTAGATAATCTTTTGTGTATGTATATGTGTATATATATACATGTGTATGTATATATATACATATGTATGTATATCTGTTGATACAATTCCATCCCCCTTCCATCTTCTAGAACTAGTCACAATCTCTGCTGTCTTCTCTTTGTTCAGTACTCTTATGTACTTCACCCATTTTGTGCTTATTTATTCATTTCAGTGGGATTGAAAGTCTTCATTTTTGGACTGGAAAAACTTGCCTAATGCAAATTTACTTAGGTTGTAAAAGTAGGCAAGAATCATTTAGCCAAAACTTTCTTCTAGGGGATATGGATATTTACCAGAGAAGAGGGTTTGTATATGTGTCATACTTTTTAAAAAGTACTAAATATAAATATAATTAAAAGGTGAGGAAACATACTTTACTGATGATTAAAATATTTTAAATAAGTGAGAAGTTTATTTAATTATCATCTGCTAGGAATCCTTAAAATTCATTAGCTATTAGAATTAAAACGTTATTCTATAGACCAAAGCAAGAAGACACCCTTTGTACCCTGACTCCCAAACCTACTGATATTCACAGAAATTTACGACTACACAGTAAACACTAGATTTCTGACATCTTATCATCCAAAAATATTGATTTACTCATTGTTTTGTAAGTGAAGTAGAAAAAATGATAAAAATATATTTATCAGAAAGGGCTGGGACCAGGGACCTTTGTACTCTTTTTCCTTTGTCTAACAACAAGAAACAAATATTGCTTAAGTAATTTGTATTATTTTCTTAGTTACTTTTTGGAGAATTATACTTTGACTCATTACATTAAAAACTGTTTTCATATCCTTCTCATTACATTAAAATATTGATAGAGTTAGAAGGACTCTGTTAGAAATTTCAGAATAAATATAATTCATAAAAGTATATGAAATTTAAGGCTGGGCATGGTGGCTTATGCCTGGAATCCCAGCACTTTGGGAGGCCAAGGCAGATGGATCACTGGAGCTCAGGAGTTTGAGACTAGCCTGGGCATCATGGGGAGACCCTGTCTCTACTAAAAATACAAAAGTTAGCCTGGTGTGGTGGTGCACGCCGGTAGTCCCAGCTACCTGGGGGGCTGAGGCAGAAGAACTGCTTGAATCCAGGAGGTCTAGGCTGCAGTGAGCCAAGATTGTGCCACTGCACCCCAACCTGGGCAACAGAGCGATACCCTGTCTCAAAATAAAAAGTATATGAAATTGAAATACCTTGTCTTTTTCTGAAAGGTGGTATGAAACCTAATGATTGTTATTGAAATGTGAGAAAGGCCCCTGGCATTAATGGATATGGACATAGTTTTCTGTCTGTATGTTATAACAAAAGTTCTGCTTTAGCCTGATTATCCACCAAGTTTTGACTCTGGGGTGTGTGTGTGTGTGTGGGGGGGTTATGTACATACGCATACACATATACATATATGACATATTGGACTTATAGGTAAGACTTTTAATTAATTAATTATGTATATATTAAAACACAGGGCTCGAAGGGAGTATTGGGAGAATCTGCTGCCAGCTTCAGGCAGACCTTTCTGTCCTTCGCTGTCAAAGCCAGACGTCTAAGGAGTAGTGAAAGAAAACCCTGAAATAACAGAACGGAAAAAAGTTGCCCTCAAGCCCGACCTGGAACCCTTCCTCGCCTTCATCCTCACCATGCTCTGCTATCTCCAGCTGCTGAGCAGCTGAGGTGCTGCAGCTCCTTCCCTTCCAGTCCACAAGCGCGTACAAATTGAGCTCCTGCTGTGGTTAAGCACTGCAACAGACACTACCAGAGATGCAGAGAAGCGAGAGGCACCTTGTTCTCCAAGAACTTACTGGCCAATAATGCTGCAGTGCATTCCTTTGAAGATCATCAGGAATAGCCAAACTTGTCTTTGAGGGTGAATTTGACACTTTAAAATAATCAGAAGTCACTGAGACCCAAAGCTAGTGAATAATTCAAGTGACTAAGCTAGGTACTTGAGGATGATAGAGCAACACTAAACTAAAGCAATGAGTCTGCTTTTCTTTAATGATTTATATGATAACTCCAAAGGCAATCCCAAAAGAAAAGATGTAAAGAATGTTTTGAGCAATGGTAGGATTATTGAAATAAATGTATAACTATCCAAAGTGATTACTTTCAAAGATGATTTTTACTTAACGATATTAGGTCCGGCCAGGTGAAGTGACTCACGTCTGTAATCCCAGCACTTTGGGAGGCCGAGGCGGGTGGATCACCTGAGGTCAAGAGTGCAAGACCAGTCTGACCAATATGGTGAAACCCTGTCTCTGCAAAAATACAAAAATTAGCCTGGCATGATGGCAGGCGCCTGTAATCCCAGCTACTCGGGAGGCTGAAGCAGGAGAATCGCTTGATCCTGTGAGGCGGAGGTTGCAGTAAGCTGAGATCGGGCCATTGCACTTCAGCTTGGGTGACAGAGTGAGACTCCGTCACAAAAAAAGATATTAGGTCCTAGAATTTTTAAAATATGTCTTCATAATCTCAGGCAGCTAGGTTATAAACTATTTAAAGACAAGATCGCATGATAAGCGTCTCATAATTCTCTTTACTTAGCATTGTGTTAGACATAGTAATAGGTGCACAGTGAAATACTGTTGATTGTTTAAAAATAAGTCAAAATAAACAGTTTTAGAAAACATTTTCAAAAGTCAGAGTTCAGGCCATGGGCAGGGGCTCATGCCTATAATCCCAGCACTTTGGGAGGCCAGGGTGAGCAGATCACTTGAGGTCAAGAGTTCAAGAGCAGCCTGGCCAACATGGCAAAACTCCACCTCTACTAAATAAAACACAAAAATTATCCAGGCATGGTGGTGCATGCCTGTAATCCCAGCTACTTGGAGGTTGAGGCATGAGAATTGCTTGAACCTGGGAGGTGGAGGTTGCAGTGAGCTGAGATCACCCCACTGCTCTCCAGCCTGGGAGACAGAGTTCAAATCTGTTTTGGTCTAATGTTTTCTTATGTTTGTTTTATTTCATGTGTGCCAGTTTCTCTTTTTTCACAACAATTTATCAATTTGTGGCAATAAAATTAAAAGTGATTTACTTTTTGTAGTGTTTGAATGTCAAAAATGTCATGAACATTCTTTGGAATAAATAATACTAGCAAATATTTATTACTCACTATGTCCCAGGCTTTGTTCTAAATATGACCTCATATACATATACCCCCCAACAGGGATTCAAAATTAGATAGTGTTTAACACAGTAGTTTACAGGTAAGGAAACTGAAGTCTAATGAGGCTAGGTAATTTGCCTGAGGTCACACAATTAGTAAATGTGAAATTAGTAAGTTTGCATTTGAACCCTTGGGGCTGGCTCTAGAATCCATGCCCTTAGCTACTGCACTACACGGCATCTGTCATGCACACAGCTGCTGCTGTTTGTCAAAAATCTATCCAAATTTTTCTGTCGCTGGATTCAAAGTATTTTTTATCAACTTTCCTCATTATGAATTAACTCTTCAAACCTGCCATGATTGTTTCTGTAATGTTGACAACCTGTAATTTATTTGATGTAGCCACGTTCCCCATAATACACAACCCCACCCTGCTGGAAATTAGAAAGTGAATCATTTACCATCATCTCAAGGCCTTTGGGGTCCTTACGGGTGACTAATCCAAACCAGCAATTAAATACCTGAATATCCTTGCCAGCATCTTCCCCAGGACCATCCAGTCTCTGTTTGGATCCCTTAAATAGTACCTCACTACCTCTCGAGATCACTTACTCCTTTTTAAGAAACACTTCATTCTCTGGAAAGCTATCCATATATTAACTAGAAATCTACTTATTAATGGCCCTTACCTGTAGACTTGGAGCACCTATAGAGCAAAGTTATGATTTCTTCCATGTAACTCTTTGAAATTTAAAGATAGCTGTATGGCATTCCTGTACTTACTTGTCCTCATTTCCTTCAACCAAAAGGCATAGGCTAAGATGTGCTTTGTCAAATACTACCTGTGTGACATTAGACAGTTACTTAAGCTTTATGTCTTAATTCCCTCATCTGTAAAATGTGGGTAAAATAGAACCATCCTTATTGGGGTGCTATGAGGATTAAATGAGATAAGTTTCTTAGAAACAGTGCATGTCGTATAGTAGGCATTCATTGCACATTATGTAGTATAATATAGTTATGTTGACTTGGTTTCCAATCCCCTCATCCTCATGGTGACTCTCTTCTGGGAACACTCTGGTACCAAAGCCTCTGCTTATTTTTAGTATCTAGTCCTGAACACTACATTCCAGGGGAGGACTGTTCACACAATATCTCCTGCTTGTTTCATAGATTTTGTGGAGAGGGCAGTGCAGGACATCATGCGAATAGCAAGAGTGAAGAAGGTACATCAGGAGGGAGAGCTGTTTCCACGCCGAATCCCTTCCTTGGGTCTGCACCAGCACAAACGAAGGCTTTTATCTAGTTACTGTACACTTTAGGAGTGCTAAACTGTATAGGAGTTTGAGACCAGCCTGGGAAATATGGCAAAACTCTGTCTCTACAAAAAATACAAAAATTAGCTGTGCATGGTGGTGCATGCCTGTAGTCTCAGCTACTCAGGAGGCTGAGGCTTGAGCCCAGGAGGTCGAAGCTGCAGTGAGCTGTGATCACACCACTGCACTCCAGCCTGGGTGACAGAGCAAGACCTTGTCTCAAAAAAAAAAAAAAAAAGATAAATTTTACTATATAAAAACTTTAAATGTATGAACACTCACACAAAAATACTCTAAACAAAGGCAAAGGCAAATAGGAAAAGCATGTAACAGAGGTCAGCAACCACTCTTCCAGTAAAGGGGTCTTGAGTTGCTTTTGTTCAAACCTCCCCCAACCCACGCAGATGTTATGAGAGGGGTTCACCTATGTGACTGGCATTCAGAACCCCACTCCACTCCATTTTCTTGGGCTTACGGGTGTTATGAGAGGGCAATGTACCCAGCTGGGACCAAGCAAAGCCTTGGGGTCAGCACTAGCATCATCACCATCAGCCGTGTTGATGGTCACTATTTCAGGTGTAGGATGTGAGGCTGTGGCTCAGGTGCCCCAGGAAGCGCAGTGCACCTTGTGGAGATGATGTGAGGGCCAGGTTGTTGGATCTGCAGGCACTGACACAGAGTTCGGACAGCTTCTGAGCATTCATATGTTATCCCGTAACGCGGTACCTGCCAGTCCCACTTGACTCTCTCCTTCCCAAGAAGTGGGTCCTCTCCTTTGTTGGGCAACTTCTGGGGATTGACTGTCAGCTCCTGTGCCCCCACATGCACTTTGTACAGCCTCTTCCCCACCTCCTTCAATCCCCACAGCTATGTAAGGTTTTCAGAAAAACTTTCTTTTCTTCTTCATCTATTATTATAATAGAACATCACTCCAAAAGCAATAGGAAAATGAAGTCCTCTTTTCTCAATGGCATCCTTATTAGAGGTGGGGAAATATTTGCTTTATATCTTTCCAGTGCTGGGAAAAAAGGGTGGGGGGGAACAGAATAATACATTTACAGATTGAAGCAATCTGAATACTAATATCCTGCTGCACATATTTGCGTACATTTGATAAACTAAGGGATACTTTCCTTAATCTGTAAATTAGGAAATAATTACCTTAATCCATTAAATATAGAAAAAGATAAACACATTCAAAATTAGGTAAATGCACAGCAAAGTGATGAGATACCTTTTTTCACCTATCATCAACTAAGGTCAAAAAGTGGATAATATCTTATGTCAATGAGGGTCAGGGGAAAAGACTTTCTCATACATACGCTTTTTGTAGAAGTGTAATCTGGTACAAACTATTTGGAAAGCAATTTGTCCATATTTACAAAATTTAGAATTCACATGCCTTTGGATGAGCGATTTTACTTCTAGGAATATAATCTGCAATTATGTTCATATATATGCAAATGTGTATGTCTGGAGACTACCTAAATATCCATCAATGATGTATTAGTAAATGAATTATGGAACATCTACAGGATGTTAAAGCATGGCATCATTACAAAGAATACATTAGATCAATATGTGCTAAGATGGAAGCATCTCCTCCATATATTGTTAAATGAAAGTGTGCTCCCATTGCTTGTACATAGAATTTTTTTAGGGAGGAATATCTCCCTCCTGGGGAGAAAGACTGGTGGTGATGGAAAGTGTGGTGTAGGAGGAAGACTTCCTTTTCTGACACCCTTCTTTAGTGTCTACGTTTGTTAATACGGCTTGGTATTACTTTTTCTACAAAACAAATTAGTTTTAAAATCTACGTCAAGATTTTTGATTGCAAGGGGAAAAATCAGATAACATGAATTTCCTGTTGTGATACAGAATGGAAAATGCTACATTACCGATGATGTACACCAGCCAAAAGTTTCTGGGGTAATCTAATCAAGCCTTTAGATTTCACTTCCAATTCAGTGAAATCAAGGGATATAGGAACAAGGTAAACACCACAATCAGTTGAATCCTATATTCTCCAGGCCGGCTGACCTAGTCTCTTCCATGGGTCAACGTGTCGGAGTTGCTCATCTTTATATGACAAACCAATGCAATGCATGGTCCTGGTTGAGACAAATTGGCTATAAGAGGTCTTTTGGGAACAATTGGGGAAATTTGATTAAGGAATCAGGTTAATTTTGGCAATGCAGAAAAATGTTCTTAATTTTTGGAAATAATACAATTTTTTAAAAATGCATACTAAATGTTGATTACTATTTATAATTTACGTTAAATATTTTAGAATATAAAAAGAAGGCCTTTTTAAAAGGCAAGATTTCCACAGGTTTTGATTTGGTAGGGGCAACTTAAGGAGAAGGTAATTGTCTGCCAAAAAGAAAACAGTGCAATTAAGAAAAACTGGCTTGAACTAGCTCTTTCCAGTTCTACAGCAGATGTTTGCTGTACTGGAGTTATCAAGAAAAGCAGATGGCCCTCTGATAAACCCTGCTGTGCATAGACTCAGCAATGCAGACCAGCAAATAGCTGGCATGGAAACCACCTGAAAGGGATCGAAGAGATTCATTGAAACTAGGGGCGAGGGTCAGCTGGAAAAACAATTCCTGCTTTGCAATGGTCACGGCCATGATTTGATACTTTATGCAAAATTGTAAGCAAAGTTAAGCAACTCACTTTGGCTGTACAGTCAGCTGCCTTGAAGGTGAGCACATATTTTGTTTAATCAGTAATGAAAATGTTGAAAAGAGTTGCAGAAGGGTGCTATTTTGCCTCACATCAGGGTTGTTTTAGGAAAGGATTTTGAGAAAAGTAGATGGGGCATGCTAGCGGTGCGATTGCTGGCACTCTGGCAGTCACATTTCATTATTTATTTGGAGCACAGAGGTGGGAATAGGAGAGAAAGAGAAATAAAAGTCGTATTTTCCATGATATAGGTGCAGATGAGCCAGCCTTTCAAAATAGTGAAGTTGGAGGAGAATCTTTTCATCTGGTGGT